GATCTTTCAAGTTTTGGCTCAAATAGACATGGTACTAATAAATTAAACCTCATAAAAAGGTGCTTCTAGTTTTCACAACCCCAGAAAAAAGGTGCAAAAAAGCTGCTGAAAATGCTTTGTTATAAAAGCGCTTCGAACCACAACTATGAAGTAGTTTCAAAAGTAGTTCCAAAATTATTGGAGTATGAACAAACTTGATTTTAAAAGTTAATGTTTTTAGTTCTTCTTGAACACTTACCTCTACTCAAGAAAATTTTCACTTATATAGTACTGGATTGAAATTTTCTCAGGAAAGCAGTTTATGCGACATAAAATGGTGAAACAAAGAATTTAAAAATGAGGAAAAAAAGGGCAATCAAGAAAATATTAGCGAAAACAAGAAAAGCGTAAAATTGAGAAGACGTATTACTACCACACATCAAAGTTTGAGCTGCTCATAATGTTATCACTACTTTCACAGCAAAAGAAAGATGACTGGTAAAAAGAATTTGAAGTAATAAAGTGACTGCCCCCGCGGCATTGCTTCTTCGCAATCAGTTTCCTTTTGCGCAATAGCTTTCGCTCGTTTTCTTTTCGTGTATCACTTTCCAATCATATACCACCTTTATCCCTTGAAATTTAACCAAAATTAATAGACTTTAACTTTAAAAGTTTTAAAATAAAATCGATGTTAATTTGATAAAAAATTTAGAAGAATTAACAAACAATTTTGTAAAAAAATGCCAGTAAAAGGTAGCGATAAAAAAATATAGGTGGAAGAGTTTTAATGTTTTGCAAAATACCTTTCTAGTCTAAATAATTTTAGAGATCTTGACTACTTAACTCATTAAACTCGATTATGATTTGGACGCCAATTCGTAGCGCATTGTCTGCTTCCAAAGGACAAAGCAACAATTCTGTGGGTTATGACTGAAGCTTTTAATTTTAATTGTTGAAAAATGGGGTAATTCAAACGGATTAAACTTAATAATCAAGTAGTATGCAGAAGCACCTACTCTTTACAGCGTTGAGAAAATAGATCTTTAAATAATACTATTTTTCTGGTGTCTTTACTAATTTTTTCTACTAGTGTTTGTCTGAATTAATTTTGCATTTCTACTTGTAATCTGAAACCCAGGTTGTCTTTAAGCATAAAACTTCTAAACATTTAGAATTACGACGAGGATTAAAATTAGTATTTTTACTGTTATTGAGTAAGAGTGTTGATACTTTTATGGTATATGCTAATAAAAAGTATTTAAGAAAGCATATATGCTGGGTAAGCTTGTTTCTTTCTAAAAAACTTTTTTAGTTAGACTAACCTTCAGAACTACATCACTTGACATAATAAACTTAACCATGTCTTTAAATATCTTTCTCTAACACGTTTCACTGGTCCTTACGAGGTTTCTTTTTCTCATCAAGACTTGAAAGAAAAATATTTATTATATTTACATTATGACATTTAAACTTTAAAAGCTTAGTTTTGTTGCAAATGGAAAGCACAATTCAAATAATGTGTCACCTAATTCGGTGTCGTAGCCAAAGATAAATATTGCAGAAGTTCTGACAGTCGGTAGAAAACGGTTCTTCAGAGCTTTGAAACTAGTTTTACATTTTGTCACTCGCAGCTTCTCGAAGCCTGTTTTAAAGGAAACATTGAAGATGTAATGAAAATAATTAACAGCGCAGGGTTTTCTATAAAATGGATAAACGGGATGTAAGACGTTGCTTGTTTAACAAATTTTCTTTGCTCTAAGCCATGTTGATATTTCTTCTAACGATTATTTGCTATACGTACTGTTCAAAGTGAGTCAGTCACCATCGAACACTTTAAATTTAAACAGAACTTTCATACTTGTTATGTTAAGGTGAAAAATACTTACAAACAATCTAGGTTACGTCACTGCATGCAGCAGCTGGAAGCAGAAACGTTCACCTAATTCAGTTCTTACTCAGTCTTGGGGCAATCATCAATGTGAAAGACTACAGCCAGGTAAATCGTGATTATGAAAGAACAAATAGTTATTTCTGGCTTGTGTAGGTACAGTCAGTGTCATTCATAGCTATCCCTTTTGTTGTTGATAAGAAACAACAGATACGCTGTAGGTCACTTTGGTTGAAAACCTGTTTTATACCACTGTAAATCTTTTTTTTGAGGTATTTATAGAATTCAGTAAGGTGCACTTTACAACATCTACCATTTTTTACAGTTTATATAGCGTGCAACTGCTACTTTTAGAGTTCAAGACCAAAGACTTTCTTTACATTGAAAGATGATGCAGTCTATCTTTTTTTGTGTTGTTCTCTAACTATGTGAAAAGTTTGGTTCACAAGGCTGGCTAATTTTTGCCAATTTACTTGATCTTTATCGCGTTTTTGCTTTGCTTTCCTCTTAGAACTGTTTTTGCAGTCAGTCGCGTTTTGGAGCTCGACGTTAACGCGTTGCGTAATATTAATGTAAAATTTCTTGCAAAGTGAATATGTCTATAATAAACT